GTTGGTCTTTGTTCTGTTTTTGTTCATCTTATTTTACTTCCTATGAATTTGTGATAATTGATTTCTATGCGTAATTGCTTCCAAATGTATGTTTAATAGCCATACGTTCCTCTAAATTGTTAACCTATAAACATGTCTCATTTATATTAATAACAATATTATATCAACCTCTATTCTATGTCGATAGTCGAAATTATTAATAATAATTTCAAGTTTATGTATATCATTCTCACAAATAAATTCATTAAAAATTTTAGTATCATTGAAAATTATTTTAAGAGATTATAAATGAAAAGAAGATAAATATATTTATAAATTAATACATTTTTAAGCTCCAAACTTTGTTGTTTTATCTATCTATATCCTAGAAGTGATTTTTTCATCAACCACTATCTTCCGTATCTAACATCAAAATCGACATTGTGAATCCGATCAAACCCGAATTTCAATGTCACAAGACTCAAAATCTATTGATTCGACGTGAAATTGGTGAATTGGACAAAGAACGAGGTTTCGAAGAAGGATATGTAGACGGTGATTCAAAAATAATATTTTCGGACGTGATTCAAGGTGGTGAAACGTCGTAATCCAAGTTTTTAATAAAAATAAATCAAATTTGAAAAAGAATTAAGGGTAAAATAAGTTTTTCAAAATAGAAAAATGTGTAAAATCTATGAAATTTGATAATTTAAGTATTAAAAAGAAAATGGTTAATAGTTCGAGTATTGAAAATGGTCATTAATAATTCATGTATTTTTTAGGGAGCCGGAATACTATATGTATTATCAAATGTTACATAGTTGGAGTATTTTTCGGATTTGTTCCCTATAGTTGACAGAACTTTAAAGGACTATAACATATTTTATAATGATTATTTACTAAAATATTACAAAAATCATGGGAAGACTTTAAATCGAACCCGTCGAACGTGCACCAACAGTGAGGATGCCAACATCCTCGCGTAGTTTCAACTTGGTCAACTCTCATTATGAGCGCCAGAACAAAGTATAAACTCTTTTGGGTTCGATAAGGAAAATATATTTTACACAAGAATT